GCAGGGGATGTTCAGGAGGAGGAATAAGGACCTTGCTCACCTATTGCCACTGCCATGAATTTGGTATTTGCCTCTGCTTGCCCTGGCAGAGCAGTGAGTCGAAACCTTACATTCTCCCCAAACACCATCCTGGCAGAGAGCAGCCGTCTCGCTTTCCCTTCTGCTGTCCTGCTGCCAGGGAGCTCCAGGAGGCGGCTTCCCTGGGACATCTCCAGTGCCTCGCTCCTGCCCTTTGCCTGCGGCCGCGTGCTGGCGGCACACCTTCGGTGCTCCTGGGGCACGGCCGTGCGCGGGCAAGCAGGTGCCAGCCGTGACTCCCGAATTCTCCATGACTCCTGCAGGTGGGGGTGAGCTGCTGTGAGCACAGAGTAGAGAGAGAGGAGAGGGCTGGCACTGACAAAGAGTAGCAGCACTCAGAAACCCTTTTATAACGTCCCAGAAGACTTCTTTCACCAGCTTCTAGTCATCAGAGTGACAAACCTGAAGCCAATCTATTAATTTCTATGGAGATTTACATCCCTGCTGGAGAATGAGGGACCTGGCCCAGCTGGTCTCTGTAGAAATTTGGTCTGAGAGCATCAGCTGCTTTCACAGAGAGCTTGTAAGAGCCTTTCTGCATCGCATGTAGACCTGCGTGCCTTTAAGCACCGTGGGCAAGAGGAGAGGACTGAGGCCGGAGTGTGTGGTGGAGGATGAGGGGTTAAACCCTTCCCTTGCCCGTTTACCGTGGCAGCTGCAGCAGTAAGCCCGCTAACGCTTGCACTGGTATTTCAAGCAGTATTTCGGTAAGGTCAGCAATACCCCTGCTTTCACCAGCTGCGGGTCTGACGCCGAGAGCGAGCGGCAGGCAGTCGCTTATCTCCGAGGGAAAGCTGAACCGTGTGACTTACCAGGGACTCAAGGTATCATTAACTGTCAAAACATAACCAGGAACGTCTGAAAATACAGTTTAGTTTGCCAGTAAAGAACAGTCCTGCGTCTTTGCGGGAAGGAAGGTAGTCGTTAACGTCAGCGGTGCCCCAGCCAGGTTAAGCGCGGGGCGAGGTGCACGTCCGAGCCTCGCGCTCGCGGTCCCGAGGAGAGCCCCGCCAGCAGCGCGGGGACACCCTGCGGAGAGCGGGCCAAGTTGCCGTTTGGCTTCGTTACAGATTAGATTAACGTGAACTGTCTTTTCTGCTCTACCTCGGGTCTTCGCACAGATCTCCCCGCTCTGCCTCACAGAACTCCCTCCAAAAGCTTTAAAAATGAACTTTTTTTTTTAATGCAATGGATTTTTTTCATTTGTCAAGTGTGGATTTGCTACCAGCCCTCCCCACAAAAACGTTGTCTGGCTGAATTTCTTAAGTGGGGCTTTTTGTTTTTCATTTTCTTGTATCGCTACCGTGGAAATCAGCCTAAGCCTTTCTGGGGCTTCTGATCAGCAAAAGGCACTTCAGTTCCTCTGCTGGGAGGTGGGGTTTTATTTTTGGTTTTTGAACATTGGCATTTGGCGAGACCATTTTTAAGATTTTAGGCAGACTGGATCAAAGCTTGTTAGAGAATTGGCATTGCCCATTTTGGGTCAGCTTGCAAAACCTGCTCTTTTTTAAACATGAAGGACTCCTTTCTTCTCCCAGAACTGCTCGGGGCGTTGTGATTGTTCTTTTTCACAAAGAAGAAGGCTGGTGGGTGCCGGCTTCTCCAGCTTCTCGCTGCAGCTCAGTTGTTTCTTTGAATCCATTTACTTTTTCCAGGTACTATTGCAAGGAAAAGATCCAGAAACTTTGTTTTTTTAAGTCTGAAGTCTCTCATGTTACATTCTCAGTTCCAGAGAGCCTGTGTGGAGCCAGATCTCCGCGTCTGAAATGGTTTAATGAAAGTAGTGTGATTAGAGTCACAGCAGGATTTGGCCCATTTTCTAGGAAATTACACCATGCCTGTATTCATCGTTATCCAGTTAATTGATAAATTAATGCATCTGTTGAGGGGAAAAAAAGGGAAAAAACCCATGCAAAATTGCAGAAATCAAAAGCAGCAAATGCCTGGAGCGTGCTGCCCTTCTCTTGCCCTTAGCTGCTGTGCCGGAGAGCTGTACTCGGCA